ACTTGAAAATAAAAATGACTGTTGTCATAAGTGCTTGTTCCTGACAAAAATGCACAAACATTATGAATATTTAAAATAGTATTTTCCATTAAGAAGATAATTTTATTCTGGTGCAGGTAACAGAGTATTGTAATTGGGATGCTTAGAACTTCCATCCTGGATGCATTTTAAATGAGAAGATAACCCAAACTCAGCTTAAATCACATGAGGGGAGTAGTAGTCTGACAGATATGTCTTCCAGTAGTCTAGTAGTCATATTTTATTTAGTGAAATGCTCCACACCTATGTATGTTAGAGGCTGGGTTTACAGAAGGAAATAGGTAGAGTTTCCTAACCCCAGTCCCTTCACTTCATGATATGGTGGGTAATTGTTGAAGGATAAATATTGGAGAACAAAGTGGAACTTTGTATGCCTGTTAGGATTCTTTTGTAGCAGTAGTTGCTGAGAGATGCTGTGGCCTGAACAAGGATGATGGTGTTGGAAGGGTGTTGGAAATGCAATGGGCAACGTGGAGATTTACTATGTAGGATGATCCAGTGGTGCTTGCTGATGATTAAATACGGTGCAGGAAGAAAAGGGAAGAATCCAGGATTACTTGATTCTAGGTTGAGCAACTGGTTGGGCAGGATGTTATGTTCTGAGATATGGGTAGCACAAGAAGAGAAGTAGTCATGATTTCTGCCTCAGGCATGACAGGTTTGACTTATCTGTGAGGCAAATATGTGGGGATATCAAGTATGGAGTTGGATATTCTAGTCTGGAGCTTACAAGGAATGTAAGGTATGTAAATTTGTGTTTGTTTCAGGATACATTTACATTCTCAGTGGTCAACAAGTAGACCACCTGGAAAGATGCATTATTCAAGGTCTTTTCAGGAGCAGTATTCTCTTTCTTCTTCTAAGTTTCAAGTTTTCCTCACTATTGGATAATTTTCTTCAGTGAAAGACATGATAATTCTGTTCTAAAAAACAAACACACACACAGACATGCACACACACACACACACACACACTCACATACACACAGCTGACTTCGCTTTCCATTTTAGCCAGTGCCCTATTTACTTGCCATCCTTTGCTTCCAAATTCCTCAAAAAAGTTAGCCATGTTAACAGACTTCAATTCCCCTCTTATCTATTCTAACTCAGTCAAGTCAGGCTTTGCCTGTCTCTATTCTAGTAAAATTGCTTTTATCAAGGTATCCAATCCTCTTGTGCAATTCTAAACACAAGGCCAATTGTGTTTTCAAATTCTTTGACTCATCAGTAGCATTTTACATGGTAATAATCCCCTTGTTAATAAACTATAGTCTATATACTGAGATAGTACATTACTTGGGAATGTTTCTATCTTAATAGTTTCCACTGTCAGTTTCCCTTGCGAATGTCTCAGTGTGCCCCAACTCCTCTCCCATCCATTCTTAATGTTGGGATTCAGTTCCAGGTTATCTGGTTCTCTTTTCTCTGAACATTTACTATCTGGGTGATCTCAAACAGTTTCATGGCTTTAAATATGATCTATTTTCTATATGTATTACCATATTCACTTGAATTTCTGATATCTCAAACTCACCATGTTCAAAATTGAAGTCTTGAGCTCCTCCTTTCATGCTTTTCCCATCTCAATTGGGAGCAGCTCCTGTCAGTTGTTTATGCCAAAAATAAGGGTGTCATCTTCGACTCCCTGTTGTCTCACTTCCTATATCTAACCTGTCAAAAATACCATTGACACATTTAAAAAATATATCCACAATCCTATTACTTCCCACTACATACACTGCTACCTTGATTCTGAGTCAATGTTCTCCCTTCCCTGGATTCCTGCAATAGTCTCCTGGTACTTTCCCCCAATTCTACCCTTTCCTCTTTGTGCTATTGTCCATCATAGATGCCAGGGAAAAGTTTAAAAGTGTAAGTCTAATATATCTCTTCTCTGCTGAAAACAATGTCTTTGATTCTGAGAGAAATGAGGAACTTTTGCAAAGTCCACAAAGGCCTATGGGACCCTGTGTGATCTGGCCCCGCTGTTCTGACCCAATTCTCTTGCTCATTTGCTTCATCCTACCTGTGCTGGCTGCCTCCTGATATTTGAATACCAGGGTTTTTATGTCTTAGGGCATTTTCTCTGGCTGTTCCATTTTCTTAGACTGTTCCTTTCTCCTGGGTGACTCCTATATTCCAAATATATTATGGTCTTCTCAAGTCCTGTCATCCCTCCATATTGTTGTAGGCATTATTGTGGGAACCATTTGAGTGTAGGTGTAGGTTGATAGCACCTTACTCAGCTGCATCCCACCCCAGAGTTTCTCTGCTTTATTGCATGGGCACCTCAGGGATCTCATTCAGTTATTCTGGTGCATGTATGGACCTGAAAATGCAAGGAAATCTACACTCCTTGGGTCATTCTTGACCCATGGGGTGTGGAAGCCAGTGGATAAAAGTTCCCCTCTTCTGTGTCTAGAGTGGACAATTCTTTGGTTCCTTCTCTATGGTTCTTCATGTGGAATTGGATTATCCATCTCAGTAAGGCAACTTTGGATCCATATTCTCTCTCCTGTTCCACTCCTTCATCCTATTCTTGTTCACTGTATAATTGTTCTGTATATGCCACTGGCATGAAATTTTAGTTTCTGACATTTAAGGAAGTGAAGTTAAGTATTTCCTCACCTCATTCAATTTTTCTCAAATTTATTTTCCAATGAGGTCTTTAATGAGCTTTTTATTTCAAATTTCAACTTCTCCTGCTCTCTATCATGAAATGCCTATCATAATTGCCCTGTTCCTTGGTTTTTAAATCACAACAATGAAACTGTGTGTGATATGTAATTTAATCATGATGTCCTTTTATTATACTTCCCCATCCTTTAGCAAACTTATTCTACTAAGGGATCCATCTATTTTGTTCAGGAATTTTTCCTTAGCCCATTCAGTGAAAATATTTAAATAGTTGTCATTAAATTTAATTGATATATTTTCTGAATGACATGGATATAAAATTTGAAAAGATCATGCTTGAGAACTGTCAAAATGCAATACTTACAGTTAGGGCAGAAGCTGGAGCTGGGAAATGGAAATATGGTGGTACACAAGAGAAAAATGAGTTTTAAGCAGGAGAGTGGTCAATTCAGAAAAAAGTTGCTCAGAGGTCCAGTTGCATGAAGCCAGGTAAGTGATAAGGGCACCATCATCATGGAGGTCATTGATTGTCACAGTAAAAGGAATTTTTGGTTTGTAATGGGAATAAAATCCAGACTGATACGTTTCAAAACCAATTATCCTTGAGAGAGTTGAGATTGTAGACATTTCTACATGCTTTGCTATAAAGAAAAGCAGAGGTTTGACTGAAAGGAGGAGGATTTAATGTCATGGTAGATTTAATCAACATAAATAATTTTTTAAAAAGTAACAGTTCTACAGAAGAGAAACATAAATGACAAAGCTCTGCACACTAAGAAATTATACAAAATGATTTTATACATAATTACACTTAACTTCCCTATACCCCTCAGATAAAGGTAGTTCAGTGCTATTTCTCATTAACAGAGAAGGAAACAAACTAGTACATAAGTTATTTGTGCAAGGTCTGCCACTAGAATATGTGGCAGTCATGATTTCAGCCAGTAACTTTAGATTCTAAACATTTTCTAAATCTTATAGAAGGAAGTTAGTTTTCAGTCTGGTTATGCTGGATGCAGGTTGCATATAGGGCATCTAGATGGAAACAAAAAGCCTAGTTACTTAGGACATTGGAATCAGTAGAAAGAAGGACTAAATATGGCTGTCTGACACTATTAGCTATATCTTTGAGCAATTACATTTCCCAATAGGTTTTTTTAAAAAAAGAGACCAAGTTTTTATTTTCAGTATTTACTTTGTTCTGTAACTAGTAAGTGTTTGAAGTGCGTTATCTCATTTAATTCTCATAAGAACCTCATTAAGTGGATCCTATATTTTATATTTTGTATAAATATATATTTTATAATTTTATAATAACAATCTTGGTAAAAACTGGGTAACTCCAGTGTTTAAGGATCTGAAAAAAGAAAAATGACCAGAACAAGATAAAAAGGTGAAAAATTATTAACAAGAAGGACATTTGGAAGTCAGAAGTCAGTCTTGCTAAAGATGAGAGAGAATTGTCCTGTGATGAAAAGAAGGAACTGGAAGACAGATGGAGGGAGAGTAACATGCACAGGGAGTTTAACATGAATTTCAATGGAGAACCAAAAAAGGACCTTTCATTTTCTCAATATGCTTGCAGCATGGCTGTATTTATGGAGACCTATGAGTATTGAGAAGATGTGAAAGATATACTGTAGAGCAGTGGTCTTAAACAGAAATTTCTACAATGATGGAAATATTCTTGGTAGTCACTAGTCACGTGTGGCTATTGAGCACATGAAAAGTGTTTTTGCATAAATGTGAAATTAATTTATTAAATATAAATTTAAGTTTACATAGTGACATATGGCTAGTAGCAACCATATCAAATAAAGTAGTTTTAGGGAAAATATGCAGATTGTGTGATTAATTTGGGCATTAGAAACCGAAGGGTTTGACTTATACATGGACTCAACTGAGATTTCAGGAGAGAAAATTGGCTCTTGCATTTGGGAATTTAGCTCAACTGAAAGGTAGAATGGTACCAATGTGCTAAAGAAATGAATTGACTTAAACATATTTTCACTTCTTTTTTCAAGGTATTCATGGCATCACCAAGAACACAGAAAACACTACTTATACTCCGTTCCTTTATGAAAGTTGTCTTGGGATATCAATTCTATGGATATTTAATATTCTATCTACTCAATGAGATTCAAATTTCTTTGAGGGTAGAAAATATGGATTATGCTTCTCCATGTCTATGAAGGCTGCTAGGTTATTTTATTTGAAGTCTAGCAGTGGAAACAAGAGGTAATCTTTGCAGGTGGAATATAATAGGTTGAACTCTAATCATATATATTATAGAAAGTATATATAGAAGGTGAAGAAGCCCTGTAAAAATTGACAAGCAGATTTTCTGGGAGCCATGCTTCCCTCTAATATCACCTCAACACATCCAGCTACCTTTTTGTTGGTAGGAATTCCTGGTTTGGAACACCTGCATGTCTGGATCTCCATCCCCTTCTGCTTTGCTTATACTCTGGCCCTGCTGGGAAACTGTACCCTTCTCTTCATTATCCGGGCTGATGCAGCCCTCCATGAGCCCATGTATCTCTTTCTGGCCATGTTGGCAACCATTGACTTGGTTCTTTCTTCTACAACGCTGCCCAAAATGCTTGCCATATTCTGGTTCAGGGATCGGGAGATCAGCTTCTTTGCCTGTCTGGTCCAGATGTTCTTCCTTCACTCCTTCTCCATCATGGAGTCAGCAGTGCTGCTGGCCATGGCCTTTGACCGCTATGTGGCCATCTGCAAGCCACTGCACTATACCACAGTCCTGACTAGGTCCCTCATCACCAAGATTGGCATGGCTGCTGTGGTCCGGGCTGTGACACTAATGACTCCACTCCCCTTCCTGCTGAGACACTTCCACTACTGCCGAGGCCCAGTGATTGCCCATTGCTACTGTGAACACATGGCTGTGGTGAGGCTGGCATGTGGGGACACCAGCTTCAACAATATCTATGGCATTGCTGTGGCCATGTTTATTGTGGTGTTGGACCTGCTCTTTGTTATCCTGTCTTATGTCTTCATCCTTCAGGCAGTTCTCCAGCTTGCCTCTCAGGAGTCCCGCTACAAGGCATTTGGGACATGCGTGTCTCACATAGGTGCCATCCTGTCCACCTACACTCCGGTAGTCATCTCTTCAGTTATGCACCGTGTAGCCCGCCATGCTGCCCCTCACGTCCACATACTCCTTGCTATTTTCTATCTCCTTTTCCCACCCATGATCAATCCTATCATCTATGGAGTCAAGACCAAGCAGATTCATGATTATATGCTCAGTCTATTCCAGAGAAAGAACATGTAGATGGATAGTTCTCTTTTTTTAGCCCCTGGGTCAAGTAATGAGAATGCTGGATTGGGGTTAAGAGGAAAAATCTAAATAGGAAAATTGCTGAATGTCTTTGACAATTCTCTAGTATGACAAGGAAAATGAGGTTTCATTCCTCACAGATCTATGAGTCAGGTCAAACCAGGAGTGCACCTATAGTCTGGTCTGATAGTAGAGGTTTGACCTTCCCATTGTCATAGACTCATCACATGGCTAAGGAAGACAGACCTCTCAAAGTGATATTGTAATCTAGGTGAAAGACAGTAGGAATATTGGCTGAGATTGGCCCAAACAGCTGAGTCACCCAAACAGGTGACTTCTTTATCCAGGTATGAGTGAGGAAATGAACCACAAACTTTGTGACCCCAAAACCATTATTCCTTTTAGTACTAAAATTACCCCCATGTCTTTTCTGACAAGTACCCTCCACCCTTTGCCACTCTTTTTATAGCCTACTATTCCCCAATTTTATTTCTACAGTTAGCTCCATTTATAAGTAGATATATTTCTTCCATTAAGTCAATTCCTTTTTTACTTCCTTCCTGATAGACATGGCCAATTCTTTTAGTGAACACTTATCAAAAGAGTCCTCTGATGTTCCTTTTTATCAATTTATATTATCCTGTATCTAGCTTTTCACATGCATGTCCTTTGCTTCCAAAATACTTAGTAATATTTATTAAATGAATGGATAGAAGAGCTGAATACCATCTTTGAACTATAGACCATGAAAACAGAAATAACACCATTCCCTCTTGAAGCTGAGACTTCTGAAAATAAGAAAATAGAATACAGTCACACACTGCATAATGAAGTTTTGGTCAGTGATGGGTCACCTATATGATGGTGATTGCATAATATTATAGTACCATATATATACTGTATTTTTTTAAACTTTTAAGTTACATGTACAGGTTTGTTATCTAGGTAAACCCATGTTGTGGGGGTTTTGTTGTACAGATTATTTCATCACCCAAGTATTAAGCCTAGTATCCATTAGCTATTTTTCTGTTTAAATACACAAATACTTATTGTGTTACAATTGCCTACAATATTGGGTTTGTAGCCTAGGAACAACAGGCTATACCATATAGCTTAGGTATATAGTAGGCGATACCATCTAGTTTGTGTAAATACACTCTATGATGTTCACAGGTTGATAAAATCACCTAAGGACACATTTCTCAGAATGTATCCCCATCAATAAGCAATGCATGACTAGTTACACATGATTGTAGTTGTGGTAGACTGTATTATTGTCCACCGATATTTAGTCTCCTGTCCTATCAGGGGTAGGATATTTCCTTCACTCCACCAATTTTAAACTTTGCCGTGTGACTTGATTTGGCCAATGAAATTCAAGCAGCCCTGAAATGCACTTCAAGAATCAGAAAGTGTATAAAAAAATAACAGATGCTGGTGAGGTTGTGGAGAAAAGGAAACACTTATATACTGCTTGTAGGAGTGTAAATTATTTCACCCATTATGGAAAGCAGTGGGCAATTCCTCAAAGACCTAAAAACAGAAATACCATTTGACCGAGTGATCCTTTACCAGGTATGTACCCAAAGGAACCTAAGTTGTTCTACCATAAAGATAACATGTATGTGTATGTTCACTGCAGCACTATTCACAATAGCAAAGACACAGAATCAACCTAAATGCATATCAACAGTTGACTGGATAAAGAAAATGTGATACATATGCACCATGGAATACTATGCAGCCATCAAAAAGAATGAGATCATGTCCTTTGCAGAAACATGGATGGAGCTAGAGGCAATTATTCTTTGCAAACTAAAAGGGGAATAGAAAAATAAAATACCACATGTTCTCACTTATAAGTGGGAACTAAATAATGAGAACACATGGACACAAAGAGGAACAACAGACACTGGGGCCTATTTAAGGTAGGAGGAAGAGGATCAGGAAAAATAGCTATCAGGTACTATGGCTAGTACCTGGGTGATCAAAGAACTTGTACAACAAACTCCCATGACACAAGTTTATATAACACACCTGCACATGTACCTCTAACCTAAAATAAAAGTTAAAAAGGACACTCTGATATTGGTGCAAAGATTGAATGGAAAGGAACAGAAAGACAAGAAGTTGCCTGGTCCATATAGACATGTGTTATTGCAGATGTGTGTGATACATATGCACCATGGAATATATGCAGCCATCAAAAAGAATAAGATCGTGTCCTTTGTGGGAACATGGATGGAGCTAGAGGCCATTGCTTTGCATTGCTTTGCAAATTTTTGCAAACTTTTAAATTGCTTTACAAATTAAAAGTTTGCATTAACTTTCCTCCTTTCTTTCCCCTCAGCTGCAAAACCCAGCAAAGTTCCAGTTAGAGGTTGTGACAAAGCCAAAGTCCACCCACAATGAATAAGAAGTGTAAGTGAGAAATAAACTTTGTGTTTGAGCTGCTAATAAAACCTTAAACTGTAAAACATGGTTAGAAGGCTTGGTTTATCTTTCATTCTTTCCCTCTGCCAGAAGAATAAGCATATCACAGCCTAGACTCATGATGAAGATCCATGGAGCAGATGTGAATCTGACTCACTGCCTGTAGCATAGTCATAACTGACCCACAGTGTTCATATAATATGAACAAGGATGATTTTGTTGTTTTTGTAGTGAACCACTGAAATTTGGGAGTCATTTGTTTCACAGCCTTACTCAAGGAACACCAATTGCTGGAGTTGTGAGTTCTAGCTTGCATTTCAACTCATGACAGCTCAAGACTGAATATTTAAAGAAAAATAAAGAAAATCCAGTCTTCTTACAACATATCATAAAATTATTAATTTCACTTATCTCTGCTTTTGTCCTTCAAACACTCATAATGAACACTTCTTCAGTCAGTTCTATAAAAAGAAGCTCCCATACATACCTTTACGTGATCTACTTATACTGTAGGGCCAACCCTACAGGGTCTATGGGTTTTTCTCATGTGTGGAGACAAGGGATCATAGAAATAAAGACACAAGACAAAGAGATAGAAGAAAAGACAGCTGGGCCCCGGGGGACCACTACCACCAAGACGCGGAGACCAGTAGTGGCCCCGAATGCCTGACTGCAGTGTTACTTATTGGATACAAGTCAAAAGGGGCAGGGTAGGGAGTGTAAGTCATCTCCAGTGATTGATAAGGTCACGTGAGTCACGTGTCCACCAGACAGGGGGCCCTTCCCTGTTTGGCAGCCAAGGCAGAGAGAGAGAGAGGACAGCTTACGCCATTATTTCTTCTACGCATTTCAAAGACTTTTAGCACTTTCACTAATTCTGCTACTGCTATCTAGAAGGCAGAGCCAGGTGTACAGGGTGGCACATGAAAGTGAAACAGGAGTGTGACCACTGAAGCACAGCATCACAGGGAGATGGTTTGGCCTCCCGATGGCTGTAGGGGGACCTGACTGATGTCAGGCCTTCTACAAGAGGTGTGGAACAGAGTCCTCTCCAACTCCCCCAGGGAAAGGGAGACTCCCATTCCAGGTCTGCTAAGTAACGATGCCTTCCCTAGGCACTGATGCTACCGCTAGACCAAGGTCAGCTAAGTAGGGGTTGCCTTGCCAGGCACTGGCGTTACCACTAGACCAAGGAACCCTCTACTGGCCCTGTCCAGGCGTGATAGAGGGCTCACACTTGTCTTCTGGTCACTTCTCCCCGTGCCCCTTCAGCTCATATCTCTGTATGGCCTGGTTTTTCCTAGGTTATAATTGTAGAGCAAGGATTATTACAATAATGGAATAAAGAATAATGCTACAGACTGATGATCAATAATATTTATATATCATCGTATCTATAATCGATTTCTAGTATAACTATTCCTATTTTATATATTTTCTTTATTATACTGGAAGAGCTTGTGCCCTCGGTCTCTTGCCTTGGCACCTGGGTGGCTTGCTGCCCACATTATATTGTGTTCTTTTTAAATTTTGTGAACCTTTTGTTTTAACAGTAATATGAATCCCTTCAAGTTCAAGAAAGTAATCAAAGTTTGATAGGCTCTGAAAAAGCATCCCACAGCCCATGCTGCTGTGCTAATGCTTACTTTACAGACACACATGGTGGATGATAGTTTAAGTGGGTCTCTTGACAGTTCTCAGGTATCTCACTCCTCCAGACATTGAAATAAGCTTTTCCAGGTATTGAACAGCAAGAAAATGGTATAAATTAAGGATCTCTGATTCTCCGATGGAAACTTTTCAAACTGTCGTTTGGTGTTCCTCAGTTGACACAGAACATTCTGTATATTAGATTACTGTTGAATAACACTCACTCTCCCAGAGTATACTTCCCCATACATTAACTATAGGCTTTGTCATGTGCACCACTTCCATGGGTGAGTGGGAGGAGTAATTAGTAGGTTTGGTGAAAGCAGAAGCTTAAAGTTTGCTTGTCTAGTGGGGCTTGCCATCTTCTTACTCTGGCACACCATGAGAATGTGACTGGTTAGCTCCCTCGTCCAAGGATGATAAGAGAAAAGTAGAGCAGAGCTGCCAGACCAACTCGCAGTTTGAAGCAGAACCTCACAGCCAAGCCTGGCATGGATTAGCCGATCCACAGCCAACCTGCAGTTACATAAACAAACCTAGCTAAGGATCAGCAGTCATCTCAGCCAATATTCAGATGTATGAGAAATATAGTTTTATTGTTGTATATCATTGAAATTTTGTATTTTTTTCCCACAAAAATAACAGACTTATACATTCTGGAAACTAATTGTCTATTATTTAATACAGTGGATATAGTATAATGTATTAAGTGAGTATTTCCAGGCTGCAAGATCTGATCTGCCCATGCTTGGCGCAGTAATTATTTTATCCTTCAAGGGATACTCATACCTTCTCATAGGCAGTGATTTTGTCCCACATAGAAGTTTAATAGTATATGAACTCTATTGCCACATAAGAAACAACAGTATAAACTTGACTTTAGTCACAAATAAAGTTATTTTCTGTCTTATAGTGACACCAGGTGCTTAGATAGAGCATAGCACTAATGAGAACAATATTTCTCATGGTATTTCTAGAGTTGAAGAAATATCATTGTTCCCTCTGACCAAACTCCTAGCTGGGATAGCCTCAACAATGGAGAGAGGAGAGTTCCCACAATGAACTGCCGTAAACTATCCCAAGATAGGGCTGATTGGGATTCCAAAGAAAAACACTAAAATCACGGTGACAGTCCAAAGAATTTATTAGGAAAACTTAAAGGGTGTTGTGGCGGTCCTTGTGATGGACAGTGAGAAAAGAGATACTCTACCTAGGTATTTCAGCAAGGAGGGGTCAGATTATGGGGCTTAAATGAAGGTTCAAGGATTTTGGCTCTGGGCTGGGGCTAGTTTCTGTGTGTTTAGCAACATATTTGATCTTCAGTGTTTTGAACAACAACCTTAACATCTTTATCAGTGTCTGGAAATGTTAAAGATCCCAGCTTTGGTTAAACCTGTAAAGGAAAACATGTAGCTGACTGGGTCACAGAGTGAATTATCTGGAAAGCCTGAGTAATTGTCAGTATTTGCCTGTACAATTCTTCTACATGGATCCCTGACTGATCCAGACAGCCATTTTAGCTAGGATACCACGAGTGTGCTGATAGCTTGCAAATGGTCAAACTATAGAGTCAGAATACAGATTTAACAAAACAAGGCAGGCAAACTTCAGTCTACTTTTTAGCAAAAGCCTTAGAAATAAAATTAATTGAATTTCAGGTTTTGCTTAGGATGCTTCTGCATTTCTATTGTCCCCTACTTCAAAAAATATGGCTACCTGTGTCTTATCCTCATAACTGGTGATTCAATTGGTCAAGAGTATAACCTGAGCTTTGAAATTTTTCAAAGATGCCCAGAGGATTCTGAAGTACAAGCAAGTTTTAGAAACAATAACCACCTAGTGCTTTTTAC